GGGCCTGCCCATCCTCACAGCCAGCAATTCCTTCCCAATATCCCATCTCTCCCTGCCCTCTGGCAGTGGGAAGCCATTCCCTGTGTCCTGTCCCTCCATCCCTTGTCCCCAGTCCCTCTCCAGCTCTCCTGGAGCCCCTTTAGGCCCTGGAAGGGTCTCTCAGGTCTCTCCAGAGCCTTCTCTTCTCCATGCTGAACAACAAATCAAGCAACAAGGCTGTGTTCCCATATTCTCCTTCAGGGGCAGGATCATCCTGTACGATCCCAGATTCCATTTCTTTGGCAATTTGACCCGTGCAGGAATTTTCTGCAGCACTCCCAGCACTGGGCATCCCAGGTCCAAGGTGGGCAGGCCCATGGATCATCCCTGTGCTTGGCACAGGTTGATGTGCTCCCCCAGGACATCCAGCAGCCCCTCCCCGGTGGCTGGGGTGGGGATCCCGCCGGGACACGCACGCCAGGTGTGGGCACTGGGCTGGTTTGGCTCCTGGCACTGCAGCCAGTGGAGGGGAAAAAGCCCTGACAGGAGCTGCCCTGAGGGCAAACCTGGGCTTTGTGCTGGTTCAGGGGGCAGAAAAGGCAGAGCTGTGCAGCTGCAGCCCAGGCAGGAGCCCTGGGGCGGGATGGGGCTCTGCCAACACCTGCCCTTTCCACCATTCCAGAGCCTTTCCGCCCCTCCGAGCCCGAAGGATCCCAGGGAGGAGCCCCTGTGTGAGCTTGCCAGTGGGGACAGTGTGCTCTGGGCAGCTGCAGGACATGGAATCATGGAATTATTGAGGTTGGAAAAGACCTCCAAGATCATAGAGCCCAACCATTGAGGCCACCACTGACACCACCACTGACCCATGTCCCCAAGTGCCACATCCACACGGCTTTTAGATCCCTCCAGGGATGGGGACTCCACCACTCCAGCCTGTGCCAGGGCTGGACAAGTCTTTCCATGAAGGAATTTCCCCAATATCCACTCTAAACCTCCCCTGACACAACTTGAGGTCGTTTCCTCTCCTCCTGTCCCTTGTTCCCTGGGAGCAGAGCCCAACACCTCCCTGGCTCCCCCCTCCTGTCAGGGACTTGGAGAGAGGGAGAAGGTCCCCCCTTGAGCCTCCCAATGTCTCCTTGTTCACTTTTAAGCCATGATCTTACTTCAGCTCCCCCTGTAGAGGTGACATTTCCTTCAGGGAAACACAGACCCAAGCAATCCCTCCGCAGCATCTCCACGTTGCCACCACGTGGTCGAGATGGCTCCTTTCACCTCCTCTCCTTTCGGCCACACAGCTCCTTGCACAGCTCCCCGGAGTGAAGGGCAGAGCAGCCCTTTGGGAGATGTGCTGCAAAGCCCTTAAAAAAAAAGAAAAAGAATTTTAAAAATCTATTCAAGCAAACCCAGAGTGCAGCAGATCTCAGTGTGGAGCATGAGAAGCATCAGCTCCTGGTCAACTCCTAATTATCCTAAACCGAGCAATGAGTGATGCCCTTGAGCTCCTCCCGAGGCAGGAAACAGGGAGCCCCAGCTGCACATTCCCCACACCACCCTGCAGCCAGATCCAGCCCCAATTTCACCAGGAGAGAAACACCTACAGCAGGGCAAACGATGTGTTTTTCCAGAGCCACCACGGGACTTCAAAACTTCAAGCTGAGGGATTTCAATCAGCAAGCCTCGCAAAAGTAACGATTAAACCCCCTCTTCATGGTGCCCCTGGTGAGGAGGTGCTGTGCTGGCAGCTCCTCCTGCCCAGAGAGGTCTCGCTGCACCACCCCATGGTGGTTGGGGTTTCAGTCATGGATGCAAAATTCCAGCAGAGCATCCCAACAACTCTTCCCCCAGGGCTGACAGCTCCTGCCAGGGTTTGCTGTTGCCTCTCATGCTGAAGAAAACACATAGAAACCTCCAAGGAAAGCTCAGATCCCAGGCAGGGGAGCCTTGGATGGCTCCAGCAGTCGCTCCACACTGGGTTGATCTGTGGTTGTAGCGTCAATGGATCGGGAAGGGGCTGGATTATCTTCACTGAGGGCCCTGACAGCTGATGCATCAACCAGGCAGTTCCTTCAGAAACCTGTCCCCACACCCAGCAAAGTGACAGCAAACCTCTGCTTTTAAAAACAGAGCTTACACACAGATTGTTCTCCCCCAACAAGAGAGATTTCGGAATCATTCAGCTTCTGTTCGTCTTCTCGCAGAGATTTCATGGATCAGCTCCTGCAGCATCAGATCCCTCAGGAACTTGGAAGCTTTGGGAAGTCTGGCCACAAGCACTGACCTAAGGGGGGCACATCAGGTGTCATTGCTACTCCTGGGCACACACATCCTGCTAAATACTGAGGACTTAATCTCCAGTTATGGTTAACGAAGTCCTGTTGAGTTGAATAAATACAGAAAAGAAAGCTCTGTGCAAGACCACTTAAAGCACTCCCAAATATTTGACAAGGGGATGGGAAGAGGAAGGGGAGGAAACAGTTACTTAACCCCTTGGAGAACCACTTATAGAATCCCAGAAAGTTTGGGTGGGAAGGGACCTTAAAGATCATCCAGTTCCACCGCCCTGCCATGGGCAGGGACACCTCCCACTATCCCAGGTTGCTCCAAGCCCCATCCAACCTGTCCTGGAACACTTCCAGGGATGAGGATTCACCTCTCTGGGCAGCCTGTCCCAGGGCCCCACCACTCTCACAGGGAAGAATTTCTTCCCCATTTCTAATCTAAATCTACCTCTCCAACCATCTAATAAATCAGCTCTGCAATCCAGTGAAGAGCCAGGAAGATTCAACGGGGGAAAACGTGAGATATTTTCCTGGGAGATCCATGGATTGAGCCTGTGGACTCACAGGCATGAGGAAGAAAAAAGTTTTGCTCAGGGAGTAACAACCTCACATCCCCTCAAGAGCCAAACAGTCCTGCCCATTTTTTCATGCCCAGCATCTCTGGTGGCTTCAGAACTCCCCCACTGCCACTGGAATGGGAATATGGCAGGGAAGGCACAAACCAAGAAGAAATCTTTCCTCTGAACACACCTTTCCCTTCAGTTGAGTCCTGGAATATCCCACACGCCCAAGGAGTTGAAAGAGAAGATTCAGGGATCGAATCTTCCTGAGAAATCAACAGTTCCACAAATAGGGGGAAAAAAAAAGGACAGGACCCACGAGATCCAGGATCAGCAAAACAAAAAGGCTCTGGAAGGAAAAGCACAGCTAACAAATATATATACACATATATATTTTTAATAGTGGCCTTGCTTAATTGTTTCTCATTTTGCAATTCTAAAGCTCCTTTGTTTTGTGGAGCCATAATTTAACTCATAAAAGCCTTTCAAACAGAGACATCCAGAAGATTTCACTGCTTGACAAGGATTTCAGAGCCTGCCCTCCCTTCAGGGACATCAGTCACACACCCACCTCAATCCCTTGGCAGTGCTTCCCAGCATTCCTGCCTGGCTTTTGGGCACCTACCTGGGGAATTTGGAACTCTCAGGATTTAAGAGTTGGTGTTGCAGAGCTTTCTGGATCTGCCAGGCAGTTAAAGAGAATTTCTATATGCGATGCTGAAGAGGAATGAAACTACTGGTCTGGAAAGTTGAAAGAGCTAAATAGGGAAAAGGGAAGGAAAAGGGCAGAATCTCTTCTAGGAAGTTACTGAAATAAAAGCCCCACAGCAAGGTAAGGACTTCCAAAGGTAAAGAAAAGCTGGTCCAAGGGTGGATTGTAGGGAATCAGCCAAGAAATCAAACTCAGGGGAGGGCCCAAGGTGATGGTGGTTCAGGTCGAACCAAGAACTCCAGATGATGCAAACAAGGAACAAGACACCTGCAGGAGATATAATTCCCTCTTCTTAAATTAAAAAAAAAAAAAAAAAATTAAAATTAAGACTGAGATTGTAACTTTGGTGTTTCTAAACCCTGCAGTAGTTTATAACACACCGAAATTTCTCCCTCAATCGGTCTTCGTCCCAGCTGAGAGCCCTGAGATTTCCAAACCAAACCTGCAGCTGATGTTGGCAAATCTGGAGAACACCGACTGCCAACCACACACAGTTGCTTCTTTGTTTCTCACCAGGCTGGTCCCAACTAATTTAATACTTAAAATACCTCAGTTTGGGGTTTTTTCCCTGTTTGTTTGTTTTTCTTTAGGAGTGGCCATTACTTTCTGTTCCCTACAATATCTTGAGTGGCAGAGGAGGGAGGTGAGGTTTGTGGGAGCATCCACTTGATTCCCCAAAGAAAGTGTCCATTCCTTCCTCCTGCTGGGGAGGAACTGAGAGCATTGTTGCACTTTCCCAGAGCACTCCACACACCGAGGCTGGACCCACCCCATCCTCAATCCCCACTCCTAGAGCAGAGCTGAAGCCCAGGAGAGCAGGAGGCACCGGGAGTGTTGCTCAGCAGGGCTCTGAGCGCTCCTCGCCCGGGTTTGTTCCCTCCTCTTTCCCTTCAGAGCTCCCACAATTCCGAATTAAGCTTCCCACTCCCAAGATTAACGCAGCAGTGTTGATCCCTGCAGCTCCTGGGGCTGGATACACTGTGGAGGTGGCAGAGGGAGTTTCAGTCTGCAGCTGAAACACCGTTCGCAGGCGTTTTACGTAACTACAGAAAACAGTTACACAAAAAAAAAAATAAAAAAGGGATTTTAAATTTCATTTGTCAATTCCAGCCCACGTTTTTTGGTTGTGTTTTTTTTTTTTTGCTACACAATAAACCCATTTTATTTCATGTTAATTTATTTTATATTAAACCATTGCTGGCCAAGCCCGGGATGAGTGAAAGCCCCTTCCCAAACCATTTAATTAAAAGGAGGTACCCAAGCCAGTGTAAAATCACTAAAAAATCACAGCTTGGTGCAGCTTTAGTTTGAACTGTTATTCAAACTCATCTTTTCAAACAAGCTTTATCACAAAGATATATTTGAGCTGCAGTGATGCAATTTTTATCCATGGAAACAGCTGTTTCATCACTAACCAGCAAAGCCACTGGCTTGAAAAAAAGGAAGAACACAAACACAAGAATCCAAAGCTGGTGGTTATTTTTTTCTTTACTTGAAGACTCTCCAAAACATTTAAGGGAAAGAAAGAAAGAAAAAAAAATAAAAGGCTTGTTACAGGTAATTAATTCCTTCTGGAATGAAACAGGCTCAAACTGGTTTTCAAGCATCATCAATACACACAAAGGACAGGCTCTTACACTTGTGTTACATTGCAACCTTCACTCAGCCTCAGTAAACATCTTTGGAATAGATTTTTAACAAAAAAAAAAAAAAAAAGAAACAAGAACCTTCAATATTCACAGGACAAAACCATGGCATGATGCAAAAGATGATCAGCAAGATCTACAGAGAGCAGCAAGCCCAGGCTGCCTATGGATAATCCTCACAGGAGGTACAAACAGGATTCCAGCAGCTGGGAACACTCACCCCTAAGAGGCAGGTTTGGGATTTGGGTGCTTGCCTAAGGCAGGGAGGCAAAAGGTAAATTAATGCTGGGAGTTCTGGTTCAACCAGGAGTCTGCAAGCGCAGCGTGGCAAAGAAAAGGCTGGTTGTTCTTTTCCAACCCCGAGCTATCAGCACAAACTCTGTACAGTGAACAAAGTTTCACTGTGACTGAAAAAAATCACCCTATAAAAGCTACATTTAAATATATTCCAAGTGCAGCGAGCACATCTAGTTCAGCTCTCAGCTTAATTCCTTAAAAGCAGCTCCAGCTTTTGTGCATCCTGCCTTCCCAAGCCCTCTCCAAACTAAAACAAAAATACACCATTTATCAAAGACAGTGCTACTGGTTCTCCTTAGGATAGTGTGGATTTATTGCTTTGCTTACAGAGGCTAAAATGGAAACTTCCAGAGAATTTAAGGCAACCCCACCAGCCCAACACCTTGAAGGCATTTCTGGCACACAGTGCTCTTCGTTCCAACACCAGGAGAAGTTTTATCTTTAAAATAAAAAAATTAAGAAAAAAGACAGGAACACTCAGATTTTAACCCAAAGGACCCTTTCAAACATCGGTTCCACCTTCCAAACACACTGAGCTGAAGTCAAGTCATTCCAGGGCACCAGCATTCAGGAAAGAGGGAAAGAACAACAGGGAAAAAAAGTCAAAGGAGGAAGATTCAAAACGTAACAACTCATTCTTATTCATCTCAACTTGGAAGATTCACTGAGATATTTGGATAACTAAATCAGGGTGGTTTTTTCCATGAGTTATGTTTTATCACAGACACTTAAAATGCACCTTACAAAGGAGTGTTCAAGGCTGACAAAAAAACAACAAACATTATTATGTGTTCTTAACAGCTTTCTGAGCTGATTCACCTGCTGGAGCTCCAAATATATTGGATTTCCCAATATTCCTGGTTCATCACAAGCTTCTTGTCTGTCTTCTTAATACTCCCTAGGGATTTAGAGCTGTAGGGAAAATACCATTTCCATCATTTCATAGCATTTCTACGTTTGCTGTGTTAAAACTCAAACCCAAGTTTACTGTTCACACAGATTTATCAACTGCCAGTCCTGCAAACCCACTCAGATAAACAATTTTAAAAAAACCAAACAAATAACTACAAAAAAACCCCAAAGAAACAAAAAACAAACCAGCAAGAACAGGCTTGTCAAAAAGAAAAGAAAAATGTGCTCAGTTTTAGGGTAATCCTTTCCCTTGCAAATACTTTGGAAATGAAAAGAATATGGAAAATCCTTTACAAGATAACACTGGTCCAATGGGCACGTGCATTCTTTTTATTTCTATACAGAGTGAAAACAAACACCACACAGAAAACAGTAAACTACTTTTTTTTTTTTCAGAGGAAAAAATGAAAGTATATTGTTCCCCCAGAAAAAAAAATGGTTTTGTGAAAACAGGAGGGGAAAAAAAATTTTCTGTAGAAGAAATTAGGAAGCTGTTATTTCAACTTCAGGCCAGGTACAGCCTGCCTGGATTTTGCAGTAAAATTTGATGAAGTAGAAATCACTGATGATGTATTTAAAAAGGAGCCAGAGTCCTACTGCCATCCAGCAGGGAGAGTGGAGAGCATTTGCACAGAGGACCCTGCATGTAAACTATTCCCACCCGGAGTCACAAACAAGATTTCATGGTGCTATTATTTGTAAATATTTTTTTCTTTGTCTTTTTCAAGAGAACTCCTTTGCCAAGAAGCTCATCCGGTTTTCTACAGCCTTTTCTAAAAGGAAAATGATGCCAATAGCAGGTTTCTGGTCAGCCAGAGAATCCTGCTGCAGAGTGCTTGTGCCATCATCTCCTGTGAGACAAAACCCTGGGGGGGTTGTAGCTTTCATTGTCATAGCAAAAAGCAGTTTTTGTCACATAAAAAGCCCACAAGTGAAGGAACTTTCCCTCCCCCTCAGCATTTCTTCGGAGCACAACTAGGTAGACTGAGAACCCTTTTTGGAACACCTTGACAGCCAACAGGTTAGTGCATTTTCCTTGCTAATGTTCCCCTCGTGCAACAAGTCCACTGGTTTACATCCTGGTAAAAATAATCCCTGGAAAACAAGTCATTCCAGGAGCCACATCAATGATTTCTTGGCACTTCCCTGCACACAGGCAGGAGAAGTTCCAGCCATTTGCAACAGCAAGTTTTAAATACCTGACGCCAAAGATGCCTCTATTTTTTTTTTTTTTTTTTTTTTTTTTTTCCTGACTTCATGAAATGCATCCAACATTACCAAGACAGGAGTCATTCTTCTCTTCCAAGCTGAAGGATTTGCCATTTATCTCCCTTTGAGTTGATGACTCAAACACTAATCCTGCTCCCAAATCCAGCTACGATTGATCCAGCGGAGCGGCCGCTTTCGCCAGGCGCTGCCTCACGGCCCTCGGGGACGAGTCTCTGTTGGACACCTCCTTACCCTCCGTTTCATCATCTGAGTTGTCTTCCTCGTCTGCTTCTTGCCCCTCATCCACCTTTTTCAGCAGCTCACCTGCCTCTGGAGACAGCTTTCCTTAAAGAGAAAGGGAAGCAACACACAAATAAAAATGCCATTCTGATTTTTTAGCGTCGCGGGCAGCTCCGCTCCGAACTTTTCCCTCCCTGCCCACGTGGAATGTCACATCTTGCAGGTGGGAAAAAATGCTCTGAAAGCATTTTTCTACCTCCTTAAAGAAGAAAGAGTTCTGTAAGAATTCAGCTAAATGCAAACCCACCATAACCCCGAGGTCAGTCGCAGGTGCAGAGCCCCGCGCTCAGTCTCGGGGTCCTGCACCATTAAAAGTTCTTTTAATAGATTTACCAAACTGAATTCAAAGTTTACAGGGGGGGGCTTACTTGACTGAGGGTACTGTGCTGCTCTGTGCCTTTTGGAGGGGCAGATACAGTCAGCCAGGAACACCATCATCTGAAACCAAAGGAATCAAAGCTGAAGCCTCCGAACGCGTGGAATCGTTTGGGTTGAAAAACAAAGAGACTTTCAAGACCAAGTCCAACAATTTACTTAATGCTACCCTGGGGTGGATCCCACCCAGCCCCACCCCTGTGTGTGTCCCCTTGGATTGTGGGGGCTTCATCCTGCTCCCCCATCCCTGTGTTCCAGCTCGGTGTATCCCAAAAAAAACAACTGCCAACCCCTGAGGTGAAGGCAGCACAACTGACACACACAGTGCTCACAGTCTGTTCCAGATGCTTCACTTACCAGTCCCAGTATCAGTCCTGAGAACAGAGTTGCCAACCCAAAAATAGCATAGGAGCCCCAGACCGGTATTCCAAGGTTTTCTGTTAAATAACCATGGCCATGCTATGGAATAAAAGACAAGAGAATCATTGTAAGGAGAGCTGAATGTCACGTCTGTTAAGATGGAATGAGGTGGAGATGTAAGCACATACCCTGATCCACATGGACAGCTGGAACAGAGCTGACATGCTGCTCATCCTGCAACAAAGCAGAGAAAAGAAACTGAAAACATCTTCAAGTCAGTCCCAAACCCGCATATTCTGATTTCCCCAACTCATTCCCACACTGAACTTCATGCTCCTGGCTGGTTTCCCTTCTAAAAAAAAATTAAGCTGTTAAGAAAAAAAAAATCAGGTTATAGAAGAACTGAGAGATCTCCAGACACTTAAGTTTAGTGTCTGAACATAAAAAATAATAGGAAACCTATTAATCCTAAATTAATACCCCATTTCACACATTCCTTGGTGTGGGATAGTAGTCTGTGGGAGAACAACCACAAAGCTGGAAGATTCAAACAGCACTGTGAGTGCACGATGCTGAGCTTCCTAGAAGACGTAAATTTTCAGACACTTCAAAAAATTAACATTTAACAGAGGAAAAACCAGGAACAACTGGGTTCATTTGCCTCAAGCAGCGGTGTCCCCAACCTGCTTTGTCACTCAGTGTCTCCACCACTCTGACCCTGCCACACAGCACGGGCAGCACCAACCAAAAGCCCCTCAGAGCCCCAAAACTTGAAACAATTCCAAAGACAGTGTTTCTTCTCAGTCTTTGCTTTTCCTCTAACAGAGAAACCTTCACTTTTAACTTTGCTACAGATACATTGTTTGAAACAACAGCCCATATTTACAACTATGTTGCTACATTATTTTCCACTTTTTTATTGCTCATTTAGAATCCCAGAATGGTTTGGGTTGGAAGGGGCTTTAAAGACCATCCCATTCCACCCCCTGCCATGGGCAGGGACACCTTCCACTAGCCCAGGCTTGTTCCAAGCCCATCCAACCTGGCCTTGGACACTTCCAGGGATCCAGGGGCCTCCCCACCCTCACAGTCAGGAGTTTCTTCTCAATATCCAACCTAAATTTCCCCTTTTTCAGTTTGAACCCATTCCTCCTTGCCCTGTCACTACAGTTCCTGATGGAGAATCCCTCTCCAGCTTCCTTGTAGGCCCCTTCAGACACAGGAAAGAAAGAAACTTCCCAGAATTTCGACGGACAAAACCTCTCGCTGCCCCATAAACAGCTTCAAGCGTCAGCAAGTCACCCACAAGACTTTAATAAAACAACACAGTCCCCTGTAGCTATTTTAAGCCTTAAAGTAGACCTTGCTCAGGTCACCATCTCTGCCATGGTGACAGTGTTCAGGTCACCTCTGCTATGGTGACAACGATCAGGTCACCTTTGCCACGGTGACATCTCTGCTATAATGGCAACAATCAGGTCACCTCTGCTCTGATGACAACGCTCAGGTCACCTCTGTTATGGTGCCAACCCTCCCACAGCTGAGGAAGAGGCGGGACAGCCACCCACCAGGTTCCCATTCCAGCACGGAGCTGTGACACACCTCAGGACCCATCCCAGCACGCCTGGCAACAAACTGTGACAGAAACCAACCCCAAACTTACAGGAAAGAGGAAGGGCCAAACCACGAGGACACTGGTTCAATAGATTTCCACTCCTGGTCGTTGATGAAGTTAATGAAGTCGGTTTTGGTTCTTGCACCCTGGTACCTCCTGAACTCTCCATCTTTACAGCTGCAAACCACCAACAACAACAACAACAAAAATCCTTTCTTGTATATGGTTCAAGCACAGAGCATTTGCTTCCACTCAACAAATTCCCTCCCACCAGCTTGCCTATCTTTATATTTATTTAATTACTTAGCCAGTTTTAATGCTTTAGCTGATATTGCCTCTCAAATCTTTTCCAAGCACCTTAATTGCAAGTTATTCCCAGAATACTGACCCCACGAATATCTTGGCTGGCTTTAGGCTGTGATTCCATAAAGCAAAGAGATAATGATCTTCCTAAAGCACTTGCCACACAGAGCTGCATTAAAGATCAACCCACAGAGACACGATTGCAAAACAGAAACACCCATGAAGAGACAGAATAAATAAGGCCTGAAGGGAAAGGAAAAGAAATCATCTGGCAGTACCATAAGGTCACGGAGGCTAAGAGAGTGGTTGAGTCACTGAAAAGCAACTGCCATTCTTAAAGAGCATAATAAATCTCATTTATTTGTCCCTCAAAAAAATAAGGGGAAAAAAAATCCTGCTGCAATGAATACTTACTGATAGATGGTAGGAAGAGCTGTGATGACAAAACGGCCACTTAATCCTGTGGGAAAACAGGTATTTTGAGAAGAGTACAGGATTTGTGTAAGAAAAGGCAAGGAGTGTTATTACAAACCAAAATACAGGCAGTGGCACCCTCAGGCATCAACCTTTACATGCAATAAAGCACAACCTTGTGCATATCATAGTACACAAGGCCTAAAAGAAATGTCCCTGGACAAAGAGCAAGGAAGTTTTTCCATGGTGAAAAAAAAAAAAAAAAAAAGATGTCCAGGGGTAACTGCTCTGTTTGACTGTTTTGGCTGTAGCTTCCTCAGAGAGAGACTCTCTTCTTTCCCCACATGATCTGCAACCTCCAGAAACCTCGAAGAAAATTACCCAAGCGAGGCAATGTTTCAAAAACTCTTTGACTTTGGAGAAAGGGATCATCACGTTTAAAACCCCACGGAGATAAGCGGGACTGAGCAGAGGGAGAGCAGACTCCTTGCACTCCCTTTTGCCAACCCAAGGGAGGGACTTGCTACAGGGCGGGCTGAAGCCAGTGTTTTGCTCAAGAAGTAGGGCCAAAAATCTGCTTTAAAGCCACCAAACCACTTCTCTAGGTTGCCCGGAGAGGTCGTGAGTTCCTCATCCCTGGAAGTGTCCAAGGCCAGGCTGGACGGGGCTTGGAGCAACCTGGGCTAGTGGAAGGGTGGAATAACACGATCTTTTAGGTCCCTTCCAACCCAAACCATTCCGTGGCTCTATTAAGCAAAATTAGAGCGTTCAGCCACACGGCAACCCGCCCTTGGCGGAGACGAGTTAAAGACTCGTGTTATTGCCTGTTGATCCAGTTCATTCCCCGCAAGCGCCGCTGCCGGAGCTGAGCACCCCCCGCCGCCCCCTCCGGCCCCTCTCACCCGGCTGCTCCGTCACATCCACTTTGGCCACGTTCACCCCCAGGTCCTCTCCCCACTCGGCAAACTTCTCCCACTCCGGCTGCAGGTTCTGGCAGGCGGGACACCACGGGGCGTAGCTGCGGGAATGCACAGCCCTGTCACCACCGCAGACCCCGCCACGCACACACACACACACAAACAAACACACGCGCGAAACACCCCGCACCCCGCCCCGCCGGCGCTGCCCCCACTCACAACTCCACCATCCACTCGCCCTCCAGCAGATCCCGCCACATGCCGTCCGACAGGACCCTCACGGGGCTGGGCTTGCCCAGCGCGGCGGCCGCCAGCGCCAGGCAGAGCGGGGCGCAGAGCGGAGCCCACAGCGGAGCCCTCAGCGGGGACCGCGGCCGCCCCAGCGCCGCCATCTTGGCCCCCTCCGCCCTGCCCGCCCTCCCCTTCCCGCCGCGTCACGGCGGGACACGCCCCCCCCACCGCCCTCAGGGGCCGCGCGTGCGCGGGGAGGGCGTCCTGGGATCCCGGTGAATCCCAGGGAATCCGGGAATGGTTCCGATTGGGATGAGGGTAACAGTCTCGTTCCAAGCGCCGTCCAGCCTGGCTTTGAACACTTCCAGGAATCCAGGGGAAGCCACAGCTTCTCTGGGCAACCTCGCCCTCACAGGGCCTCCCCGCCCTCACAGCCGAGGATTGCTTCCCGATGTCCTGAATTTCTCCTCCTGCAGTTTCTACCCATTGCTCCTTGTCATGGAATCGCTGAGGAGGTTGGAAAAGACCTCCAAGATCATCGAGTCCCCGCTGTGGCCGATGCCCACCTTTGTCCCCCAGCCCAGAGCACCGAGTGCCACATCCAGTCCTTCCTTGGACACCTCCAGGGATGGGGACTCCAAACATCCCTGGGCAGCCCCTGCCAATGTCCAATCACCCCTTCTGTAAAGAAATTCCTCCTGATGTCCTATCTAAACCTCACCTGGTGTAACTTGAGGCCGTTCCCTCTCTTGCTGTCCCTGTTCCCTGGCAGCAGAGCCCGACCCCCCCGGCTCCCCCCTCCTGTCAGGGATTGCAGAGCCAGAAGGTCCCCCCTGAGCCTCCTTTTCTCCAGGCTGAGCCCCCCCAGCTCCCTCAGCCGCTCCTGCTGCTCCAGCCCCTTCCTCAGCTCCCTTCCCTTCTCTGGACCCACTCCAGCCCCTCAATGTCCTTCTTTAATTGAGAGGCACAGAACTGGACACAGCGCTCGAGGTGTGGCCTCACCAGCACCCAGCACAGGGGGACAATCACTTTCCTAATCCTGATGGCAACACTGTTTCTGATACACAATCACTGTCACTGCAGCTCCTGACAAATAGTCCTTCTCCAGCTTCCTTTCAGGCTCCTTCAGGTCATGGAGCAGAGCCACAGCTTACCCCTGCTGCTGCCCAAAGAAGCTGTGGCTGCCCCATCCCTGGAAGTGTTCAAGGCCAGCTTGGATGGGGCTTGGAGCAACCTGAGATAGTGGAAGGTGTCCCTGCCCATGGCAGGGGGTGGAACGAGATGGTCTCTAAGGTCCCTCCCAAACCATTCCATGATTCCATGGTCTTTAGCTACTTATGGCAGAAAAGTAGCAGCACTTGAGTACTTAATTCTCAAGCAAAAGTCAGGGAGAAGGGCACTGGTAACAAGCAGACAAATCCCACCATCATCTGATCTCAGTTTTGTCTCTCAGCACCTTAAGCCTTTCCAGGGAAGGAACCTCTTTTTCCATTTGCACAAAATTCCTCTCCCACCAGTTTTTCTCCAGCTCCTGCTCAGGATCAGCTCTGATAACATCACCTTCCCTTTTCCTGCCTGGATCATTCCTTTCCCTGCCCCTTTCCCATATCTCCCAATCCCGAGCCTTGACAGAGGTCTCCAGCAGCCTTTGGGCAGCACAGGAAAAAGAATACATTTTTTTATTATTATTATTATTATTATTATTATTATCTTATTTTATTTTATTTTATTTTATTTTGGCAGCTTATCTATAGTGCAACGTGTATGTTCCCTTCTGTAGGAGAACACCAAGGCATTATTAAGGACTCCGTGAGTCCTGTTGTTCATCGATTCAGTGCTCAGTAATAAATCACTGCTTGCAGCCCTCTGCTGGTCCTTTTGAGTGATAACTGAATTCTTGAAATCTGCTATCGATAATCCCAGAATATTCCACTCAGCATCAGCAATGAGGTGAGATGCAAGGAGCTGTCTCTGCTGAACCACTGGGCTCGGTGATCCTAAAGGTCTTTTCCAACCTAAACAATTCAGGGTTTACCAGCACACATCCAGATCCTTTGAGGTGTGATGAAGAATAAGTGCATGAAAATGTGTTGTATTGCCAGGTGTAAATAAATTTACCACTGTAAATAAAAGATTCCTTCAAAGGCACACCAAGCTCCCTTTGGGAACAGCTTGAAAACCCCTGAAAATGATGACTTCATCCCTCCTCTGCTTGCTTCCAGGAATTACTTTCAGTGTAATGACTGCTCTGAATTACTTTTTATCTCTGTTATTAATGTTACATTGTCGTTGTTTCATTTCTTCCTAAAGTTTTGAGAACAAGAAGGCCCTAATTGTATCTTTTAGGTATTTTTTTTCCTCCAGCCTCTTCCCCTCAGCCCTCCCGAGCTGCCTGGAAAAATATCTCCCTGGTCTTTCAAGGTTCACAGCAGAATAAAGAGATTTAATAACCAAGTGACCTTAAGAAATAAACACATTTTTCTTTCTCTTTTTTTTTTTTTTTTTTTCCCATGTTCTTTTCCAGTGCTGCCACACAGAGGCAGAGTTGAGGCTGCTTCCAGACAGGAAAAAAAATCCTTATCGCTTAGAAACGACCTGGATTTCCTGCTGGGGACACCCCGTCATTATTCAAGGTGTGAAGGGCTTTTTCCTTGTCTGGGTACTCGTGGTTTAGGTTGCTTTTCCAAGCTAAAGGGGATTTTGGGGACAGTTTAGTCCTTCCCACCAACACACAACCACAGCTTGATCAAGGCTGGGGTTACAAAAATCCCAAGTGTCTTTAAGTTTCATGAAAAGAATCATCCATTTAGAGTAAGCATGGGAAAAGGCTGAAGCACAAGCCCAGAAAATTGTTTGACAGAAGGAAAATTATGATTATTTTAACCTCTTCTAGCAGAAGGTGTCTCTGCCCACGGCAGGGGGTTGGGACAAGATGGTCCTTAAGGTCCCTTCCAACCCAAACCATTCTGGGATGTGTTTTCCTGTCCACAGAGCTGTTGGGTTTTGATAAAGGATGAAGGATGATGAAGCAAAAAAAAGACCCGTGTAACCAAGAAATCATTCTGTTCTTGATGGCATCTGCACCTCAGAAAAGCAGATCCCACATGTAGGAAAAGGGGAGGGAAAAGATTCCAGCTTCCCTTGAGCTTTGCTTTCTTTTGAGCTGAAAATGAAAACAACAACAACAACAAACACCCTGAAATGCTTGAATGTCTCATTTTCCCCAAAGTTAAACCCACAGAGACGAACAAATCCTACAAAATCCAATCCAAAGTGGTCAAAAAACGTTAAAGAAACCTGCACACAAATTGACCCACTGGTGGGTTTTTTTGAAGAATATTGATTCATTTCTATTTGAAAAGGAAGCAAATTGAAGCAGCTCTATTTTTACATATTTTATCTTCTTTCCCCTGCTGTTTTTCCAGTGCCCTGAGGTGCCCTGAGGACGAGCTGAGCACTAAACCAGGCGGATGAGCAGTGGGAACCCTGGCTCTGACCTTCTGAAGGACCACTTGAGGAGAGCAGAGGCCTGGCCAGGTGATTATTCCAAGCTCTGCAGTGCCTGGATGAGGTACAGCATCGGAGCCCTGACCTCCTTTATAGCTCCTGCATTTATGAAATGCCAAGAGATTATGCAGAGAGCTTTCCTGAGTGTGCTCATGTGAGGCAGGAGACATGAAATCATCGTCCTGAAGCCCAAGGTGAAATCAGGCTGTCCCAAAAAAACCCCAGGCAGGCCTAGGGCTGCATCTCGTAGTGCTGCAGAGGAAGGAAAACTCGTCCTGCTTGATTTTTGTAGGGATTTTTTCCTAAGGGATCTCCTAAAGGGGACTTTGTGGTCAGTTTAGTCCTTGCAACCAACACACAACCACCATTTGATCGAGTTTAGGGTTATAAAAATACCAAGTGTCCATGAATTTTGTGAGTTGTCCACTTAGAGTGAGCACTTCTGCCAGGCTGTTTCCTGGCTTCACCCTTTAGGGAAAGCTGGGATTTAAAATCTCACTCAGAGCAGTTTTCTGGGCTGAAGAGTTAGAAGACTAAAAAACCAAGTGGTAATTACTTTTCTGCAGCTCAGCATTTCATTCCAGGAAGACAATCCTGGCATCAATTCTTCCTCCTACTGAAAAAAAATCTTGCCTTTCATGGGAAATAATTCAATCCTACCTTGGAAGACCTCGGAACTACGACAGCCCTTCTCACAACCCCTCAGCCTTTCCTCCCGGTGCTAAGAAACTCCAGTAGCTGCTAATTATTCAGTAATTAAGTGTCTCTGCGGGGTTGTAATTGTGAGTCTGGCCTCTCCCCATCATCGTTAGGTAGCAGTTTTCTCAAGGCCCAAACCATTTCTCTCCTTTCCTTTTGATTGGATTACAAAATTGCTTTAAACTCAGTGGAGATGATTAGGAAAAGTGTGTTTTTGCGCAACAGTTGCCATGGGAACTAAAGGAGGGAGAGAGAGAGAGATCTTTATAAACCACAAGTCAAACAGATTGTGGTGCAGACAATTAATATTGTCTCGTTCATTTGCTTTAACTCTTCTTTTCACCATCCCAAAATAGCTTTTGTCTCTTTTCCATGTTGAATGCTGTGTCCAGGAGATTCTGCCCCCTCGAGGATTCACCCCTCATTCTCCTGCAAGGCCATCCTGGTTACATCTTCCTCTTCTTCTTTGCCTCTCTGGTCTGGGGACACCTCTGGGTGGGATTTGTTTTGGGATTGGGACACACATGTGGAAGAAGTGTTGTCAAAGCACCCTCCCTGTCAGTGGAACCAGAGCACACTGGTGGCTGAGCAGCTCAAAATGCTTCTCCTGCACAAACCTCTCTGCTCTCTTTTGTAACATCCCAGACTCCTCAGACCTTCATTTCTTCTAATTCCACGTGTGACACTTCAGGGAAGAGAAGCTGACAACCGACCCAGTGTGCCCATCCCTCTGCTCTCCTCTCTTTCCAAACCCTCTTTCTCCAGCCCCATCTCCCATCTCCTGACCTCTCTCTCACCTGCCCTCTCCCACATCCTGCCCTCCTCTGGCTCTCCCCTCACAGCACGGGTATCACACCTTAAAAATAATTAGCAAAGGAATGTCCTTGTGTTCCTCCAGACCTCTGCCTGACTCTTTGAACGGGAGGAATTCCCCTACCAAGGGAATTCAATACTCATGTACTGT